ACGTGGCGTTCTTATTCCACTAAACTTGGGAGCAAACTTGGACGGGCATAAAAAATGCACTGCCTGTTTGTAAATATTTGTTTCAAATGAAGGTTGCCTCTGCAATTTTTGTTCTGCTTTTTCCTCTGCTTTTTTTTTTTAAAGTTGGGCACTGTTACAATAACATGGCAAAAATTGATTTGCTCTCATAGCTGCTGTTAGAAGAAGAAGAAAAGTTGACCTACTGAACAGTAGGGGGCGCAAGCGCGGGTCATTTCAGCCTTGCTCCACTGAAGTGTGGGGAGAACTGTTGAGGTTGTAAAGGAATAACTGTCAATTGTGGCGCATAAAAAAATATCACTCTTGACTTAAGACGGAATAATCACGTATGCTCACATGAAGGATTGCCACCAAAAGGAACGACTTTAAACGTGCACTCCCTTTTGCTGACTGCGCTCCCCCCCAAGTAAATCTAAAAGCCTCAGAAGTGCCTCAATCTTCCCGAAATCATGCATGGTTGAACATTTGAAATGAGCTCGCACATCACCCTCAGGCGCTGATTCAGACTTGATTGGGGCAAGGCGAGCTGCGAGTGCTTATTTATACGGCCACGTCACGTTGGAGGTTGTCCAAGGAAAGAGGCTGAAAGATTGCAAAAAGGAGTGAGAATTTCATTAACTGCATTCCGCTAAATTAATAAGTTGATTCCGGGCTCATCAACAAGTTGTCTGATGCACGTGCAGCGTGGATGGTGTGTGTTGAAGAAGCACACCAGATAGATTAGATGTTAGAGAGGTAAGGGAGGGGAGAAAAAAAATCAAAGGACTCCACCAACAATCTATATAATTATCATCATCTGCTGCTTTTCCTCTCTGGCAAAGAAACACTCCATCCATTTGTAGCAATCGCCCGGGGGAACGTTACATCAAAACTAATCATAACGATTAAAATCAGCTTCTCTGCGAGAGGGAGGCAATAGGCAAGTTGGAGGCAGGAGGAGTGAGGGTGTTGTAAATGCAGAAAAAAAAAAAGATTTCTTTATTTGATTTTATAAAATAAATAACATAAACTCAACAAAGACTGTGGTACCGCTGCTGCGATCTCTTCCTTTTGCGGGGAGTTTTTTTTATTTTTTTATTCTGCAGATTGGTTTAGACTGGGGCAGAGACATGAGCTAATTGTATCCTGATCTTTGCCTTGAGGGGTTTTGGAGCCCCGGAGCAAGTATTCTCAGTATTTTGTTCTGTCTACCTTAGCCAAGCTATTGCATTTCTCACTGGTGTAGGAAGAGAAGCAGCTCGTGGGCCAAATCGGAAGGGAAAAGGTGCACAAAAAGCTACTTTATGCTTCTCTATGTTTCAGGTAAGCGGAGATTTATTTGGTTTGCTATTATTTCCGAGGCTGGGTGGACTGGGACGTTGAGGCGCAGCAGCTTTTACGCATGTGCCAAGCGATTCGAGCGGTACAGTTCTTTAAAAAAAAAAATATTTAACCACTTCCTGGCTATTGTTCCTCATTAACTGTACAAATATATGCGCGTGGCTAGCGATATAAACGAGGAATTGGTACATCTGGTTTTGACACGACAACAGCGGCTTAGACTGCGATCCTGTCGAGCAAAACGCTCTACTTGTCCGCCGTGTGAATTCGCTCCTGGCGCGTTTGAGCTCCGAAACACATCGCCGTCTCCCGTGTCGCTGTTGCTGTACAACTTGCTCATAACTTACTTAAACCCGCGGTTTTTGTCGTTTTCATGGAGTGATTTTCTTTCTTTCTTTAAAGTCAGTTTTGTCGTGAGACAGTTCCATTTCCTGGCTGTCCCAGATCTTTTAATGAAAGACGCCATTGTGGAGTAATTTCGCCGCGGGCGTTTTTTTTTTTTCGTATTCTGTTAATTTTTTTTCGTATGCTGTAGCCTACCTTTTTACACACGTCGATGCAGAATCTGTGAATCGTGCTTTAATACACACCGTGACCGTGTTGAGATGTTAATATGTATGTCAACGGAGACAAAAATAGGGGAGACATTTGTCCTCCCCTCTCCTCTCGTGTCTCTCTGACCGCGCCGTGCGTAATCAACTCCAAGGTCCGACTGCGAATCGGCAAATATAGTTTACTAAGTAATAATCTGGATTTATTTCACCTATGGCAACATGTGTTGTCTAAATAAGCATCTACTGAGGAGCATAAAGTTTATACTGTGAAATTATAGCTTACATCCCGAACAAAAAAATAGCTTGCATTTGGTGTCTTTATATTTCTGGCTGTGCTGCAGGGAGGAGGAGACTCTGAAGGACGTTAAAAAACAAAACCCTCTAAGTTTAGGTCACCTGCAATGAAAGTCAATACTTGGTTTCACCAGTTTCAGAGGGCAGCACGAATATAAAAAAAGAAAAAAAGATTGAGATGTTGGGTTGTCAGGACTGATCACTTGGTGGCGCTGTAATAACAAAACCACCTTTTTTTTTTACATGTATGTAGAGCATCTGTGCATCTGTTTCCCAGTTAAGTGTTTCCCACACTTAACAAACAAGACTGATCTGGTAGAGTACACATATTTACAAAGCAGGTTGGTTAGTCCACATTACAGTTCCAAGTTAGTGGTGCTTTGCTCGCTAAATCGGAACCCCATTGGAGACAAATATTGTTGCATTATTTGGTATTATGATTCTGCCACTCCTGTGCCCTGGGACAGTTCTTTCTGTGAACACGCACCACTGTTCCAACGGCCCGCAGCAACCGACCACTGATCACACTTTCTTATCTGTGATGTCACGCTGATGCACCACTACAGTAACTCCACAAAGAGTTGTGTTGAAGTGGCCCTCCTCGTAATGAAACTCGGCGGGGATTGTGTGTTTCTGGAGCGCTGCTACGATGTGTAATGCAATTGGCTGGGATGTAAACTCTGAAACTTGCCTTTTAGTCATTGTAAACAGAGTAGCTGCAGTTCTACGATATCGTTTGGTTCAGTGGAACTCGGATTGGACGACCGTGATCCAGACGATTATTTCCCACCTTTGGCTTTCCAGAGTTATAAAGTGTTTCATCCAGAAAGAAATCACACTTCTCTCAGCTCAGGAGCAGGTCAGCGAGGTCCCTTTCTCTCTGCTAACTTTTTCTTTCCGCTGGGCAGAAGGCGACCTCGGCACCCTTTTCGCTGAACACCAAAGTAGCTGCACACACGCTGAACACATTCTGCATTTTGTCACCACAAACTCGCAGAGCGACCTCTGCTGCTGCGATTTTAAGAAATACGGTCAGTCTGCAGTTGTGACGTGTGAGATTAACTTGATGCCTACCGCAGAAATGGTTACATATCTCTGTACCTGTCAAAATACTGCACTTGTGTAAATGTACGACATTTTGTTTTAAAATGTAAAACACTAAACTCCTGCAGATGTGTATTGCTCGGGAGCTTATAATGCCCAATGGACATTTATAAAATACAGTGATACAGTGATACTGACCAGACAACTCGCCCACAATAATCACCCGGAGCATTCAGCTACGACAGCCTCGCTACCTGTGTTTTGTTTTTACCTTTACAGCCAGCAGTGACTGAAGTGAACCCACAGTCTGCAGTTTGTCTGTGTGTGGACATTTGAAACAAATGGCCACGGGCAACAAAGCAGAAACAACCCATCTAGATTATGTAAATACCAGTCTGCCTGCCTCGAACTGAATGTTAATGCTCCGATCTCAAATGCTAATTGTGTCTTATGCGATATGTCAGAACACTCAAGAGCTGCATTGTGGGATGGAAAATTGAGAGCCGGTTTGCTGCTGATGTTGATCCCAACATGGCCCTTTTGATTACTGCAACAGCAGCGAGTCACTTTGCGGGTAATACAGCTTCAGATGCAAACAGAGATGTCGGTTCCCTGAGATGTAAAGAAGATGTTTAACGTGATGAATTTGCATAGAAGGCTTGAAAGACTGTGATGGAAAAAAAACAACTGGAGCAGCGTGAATACTCCAGGCTTTGATGCACTGTGCCTGTTTTAGATTTGCTTGTGTGCTGCAACGAAATGACACGAGCCGGGTAAAACGGGCAGATTCCCATAAACGGTTTCGACTCGTGACACAAAGGTCCGGAAACTTTGGGAATGCGTCTACGAACAGCCCCCGCATGGGAGACTATTTTGTAGCACCGTGCCAGATTCAAAACGGCAACAGGTAGGAAAAGTGCTGACGTGGAAGGGGCGTGGTCTCTATCAGCCACCCGTCGCATTATGGACTGTGAGGATGCGGCGACCTTTGAACTGTCCCCATGCATCTCTACTACTTCCAACAACTCTGAATGATTTTGTGATACAAGAGCTCATTCCCACCACCAACCGCCCCCCCCCCCCCTTCCCCTACACCTCCCACCCACCCAACCACCCGTTCTCTTTCACTCGCTCTTCTCTCTCCCCCTGCAATTTTCCATAATGCCTTACAGATTTTACACTCAATCCACCTTTGCGATGACAAGGCTTTGAGGAAATCCAATTCCAACCAAGCTGTTTTCAGAACTTACTCTCCACAGGCACACACTCGCTCTCACACTCACTCACACTCACACACTCACACACACACCACCATCTCCACAAATTAGTCAGGGAACAAATTACCTGCATTCTGAGTGTGATCCCACGCACTTTGCCGGCTGCCTTACACAGGTCCCCTTTTGAAGAGCAGCCATGTGATTTCTCTCTCTTTTGCCCCGCAGGCCCCCTTTGCCTTCTGCGAGGGATTCTGGAGTTGAATTTTAAAAACTATGTATGGCTGCTGCCTGCGCTTATCAGCGCGTGCACAAGCGGCATGCAAATCAGACCGGGATCACACACCGCATTGGAGGCCTGCACTCAAAGGCAAGCTTAATTGCTAATTGGGTATCTAGGTGTGAAACTCCCGCTGCCAATGAGAAGCAGGAATGTGGATGTTTTAAGGCCAGTGGTTGAACTAATTAATTTGAATGTGAATGTTATTAAAATTTGTGGATTCCCTGTATTTTCTATGGGGGAAAAAAAAACACAGCCCTGGAGAGTGCTGTGGCAGTACTTTTTTAAACAGCAATTGGATGTTGTGGTCTGGTTTTACACGCCAGGATGTCATTAGCGGGTGGTGTTTTTCACAACGCTGATGTGGTCAGCGGAGGTGGTGTTTACACACCGCGGTCACCATACAGTGACTTTGATATGTGTCAGGCGTATAGCCGATGAGAAACTTACCAAGATGTTAGAGATGCACCGATACTGACTCGGATCAGACTGGATCGAGTATCGGTGACAATGGGCCGATCTGGTATCGGATACCATTATTATGATAAATAGCAATTCAGCACATTTATACATGTATTTATTCGTTACATTATGTTTCGAACGAGTTAAGAAAGTCAAGTTTAACTCTAGCTTGATGTTGCCTTACAGTGAGGCGTATAGCTTGTTGATTAAACACTTTTATTGGATCGGTACTACCGGCTGATACCCAAAGCCCAGGTATCGGGAGTGAAGAGGATGCACCTATCCTCTTTAAGTGTTTTCCTTGAGGGACAGACTGCTGTCTCTGGTAGTTGTCGTGTCCTCGTGCACACAGCGGCCACTTAAGTTATTCATATCCTTCAGAAATGATGAAAAGAGTGCTCATGCATCCGGGCAACTGGAAGTGATCTCACTGGCTGCTGTTGTGTGGTTGGGAAGATTGTCATCAAGTCAGGTGCTTGAGAGTGATGTGTGTTTGTGGGTGGAGGGTGTCACAGGGGGCACTTGAGTGTTTTTTTTTTTTTGGTGTTGTTCTTTTCAGTGAACTTTGGACTTTGTTGGGTCTGTTGTGTTGAAAGGAGGGTTTCTAAACGCATGCTGCAAAAAGGGCAAAGGCCAGCTGTGACGTGCGCGTGGACCCGACTCGTATAAAAAGACGATCCCTCCTTTTTTGTGTGGGTGTGCGTGCGTGTGTGTGTTGGCAAGGATTTGTTTTATTCTGAAAATGCGACACTCGTACCTGCCGCTGAAACAGCGACAGCCCAGAAGAGCCGCAGGCGCTCCGATGCTAATGTTGTCGGGGGCTTTGACTTCTCCCAGCCATTGCGAGGAAGCAGCTCCGCGCGAGAGCCACGGCGCCACTCTCTCCCCCCCGGTGCTCGCCGTCCCGCTCCTCTCGCCTCTCCGCGCTCGGCAGGTGCGTTGGAAACAGCCGACCGCGTCCCGACCCGCGACCCCAACGCTCGCGCCGCGATGGACGAGACGGACGTCATGGACCTAACGCATCAGAAGGCGAGGAAGCGACCGCGTCCGATCGGTTCCGCGGACGAGTCCGTGCACGCTTCCCTCAAACGGCTGCCGATCCGAGCGGCGGAGTACAGGGAGCCCTCGCTGATGTACGCGGTCAGAGGAGAGCCGATTCCCGCAGCGTCTCTCAAGCAAAACGACCACTCGGTGACTTCCTCTCCGAACACAGTGATGCCCGCGCAGGTAAACGCGAAAAAAGTCGGATTTTGTGTGGGAGGGGGGGAAGAAAAGTAGAAATTACGGTCGCTTTTTTGCTGGAGGATGCGAAGTGACAGACACTGGTTTTATTGGCTCCGGTGTGCGAATAGATTGTCTTCCTGTCGTCCTTAAATGTAGAGTGCGCACTATTGTCACGTTATTTCAATACGCACAGACGCCCCCGTTTCCTACTTTCATAGAATGTCGGTAATATCCAACTCTTTGATAATCCTCAGAGACTGAGGTGTCACAGACTATAGCAGGCTCCTTTCTCCCGTCTTCACTCCGAAACTTTTGAGCAGAAGTAATTCTCTTCTCAGAGATGCACTAATGGTGTTTGTAGGTTAACAGGCGCCACTTTGCCCAAATCCTATTACAGTGTTCAAATCAAGAGTCGTCGTTATTGCTCACTTCCACCGAGATTGATGCTCCGAATTAATTTGGTTTTGGAGATTATGGCCCACAGGAGCGGGTGCTCGTGGATTTTTGGCATCCAGGTCAAGGTCAGGCTGCTCCAACTTGCAGAGATGAAAATCTTCCCTCACACTCCTGACTGAGGAGTGTGTTGTGTTACAGAAATATATCAAATGTTCTTTATGTTTTTTTTCCCCACAAATGTTTTATTCCCTAAATATTAATAATCGGGCCCCCTGTGTCGTGTGGTGTTTTGAATTTCACACATCTTACCTGTGTTGACATTGTTGTCCCCTGTGTGTTGTTTTACAGGATCATCGCTCCAGTATGTCCAGGCCCATGATCACTCGATCACCGGTGTCTCCCTTGAGCAACCAGGGCATCCCAACAGCTGCACAGCTCACCAAGTCCAACGCCCCTGTGCACATCGATGTGGGCGGACACATGTACACCAGCAGTCTGGCCACCTTGACGAAATTCCCAGAATCCCGGTGAGTCTGCTCTGCCATGCATCTGTGTTTTTAAGTGTGGAGTTTTTTTTTGGGGGGGGGGGGAGGGGGAGTAGTGAATGCTTGTGTCTGGTGCTCAGCTTGAAGCAGGGAAGGAGATTGCAGTGAGATTCAGCGTCTTCTTTCCGAGCCAGATTTCTTCAGCGTCCGAATGTCATCCTGTGACATTAAACAGTCAAATGTCACATCTCGTCAAATCACAGCAATGTCTCATGGGTGCACTTGGCGGAGAGACTGAGTATAAACGAAATGTTTACTCCTTCTATCCAGCAAATCCGCAGCGGCGGTTGCTTTTGGGTTATGCGGGTCGTATCGCAGAAATCCCGGTTTCCTTGCGTCAGTGGAGCCCACAGTTATTTTGGGGCCGGTAAACAATTTGTAGGAGTGCAGAATGCAGTGCACAGACAAAAGCGACTTGGTTATTCTGACAGATGTCACAGCAGCAGTAAAGGGCCAAAGGGCATGGGGGCCATCTGGAGGCTGGGAGGCCGCACTGTCGCTCCGAGCCCGGGGCCCGAGGGTGACTGGCACCCTGCCTCAGGCAACCAGCTACCAGCTGGCCCTGACCTTTTCAGACCACCTCTGCTTTTCATCTTTTCCTTCTTTCCTTCCTTCACTCTTTCCGTCTGTCTGTCTGTCTGTCTGTCTTTCCTTCCTTCACTCTCTCCTTCTCTCTCTCTTTCTTTCTTCATGGTTGATGCGTGTCTCGAGCTCGGTAACGTGTTCATGTCTGTGCGAAGGTGTGAAAAACATTTCAGAGCTTGAGAAAATGAGTGAGTCACATCCCTTTGCACATGCTCTTGCTTCACATTATCATTTTATTTTTCTTTCTTTCTCTCTCTCTCCATTGACTCCCGCTATGCAAGCATCAAACAACATAAGCTAGAGAGCAGTGTATCGATAATGCATAATACTAGTTATATTAAGACATGTAAGATTGTTAATGTTGACATGTTGTCCCCTGCTCCCTCTCTGCCTCCCCCCACCACCCCGCCCCTTCTCCGTGGGTAGAATTGGTCGTCTCTTTGATGGCACAGAGCCTATAGTCCTGGACAGCCTGAAGCAGCACTACTTCATTGACAGGGATGGACACATGTTCCGCTACATCCTCAACTTCCTCAGGACGTCCAAGCTCCTCATCCCAGACGACTTCAAAGTGAGTGGGTGTCCATCCTAGAAACTGTAAAGTCCCATCAGCCAGTCAGCATTCTCCCACAACTTCGCACACACAATGAATGCTAAGGCCGTGGAATGCCGTTGGTCGCCGGGCACTCCCTGACTTGCTGGAAAAACGGTTCCCATGCTGGAGACAAAAGCATGAGGGGCAAACCAAGCTCAGTCGTAATGCATTTGCTCGTCACGAGATGCAGTCCTGCTCTCCTCCAGCTCTTAGCGGCCAAAGATTCTTTTGGGATATGGAAGGAAAACAATAAGCCTGCATCAAGGCAAATAAATAAATGTCCCGGCGCCCATGTGGTAGATTTCATCAGCGCTCTGTGTTCTTAAGCCAAGTGGCCATCTAGGGTGAGTCTCACTGTATGTGACACATTAGAATTCCTTCTCCCCCCCCCTCCCTCTTTTATTACTCTTATGTGTCATTTAGTCAGTAATTACTTAACTTGCCCCGGGAGGAAACAAATAACCACATTATCTGATGGACTGTCCACAGTGTGACTCAATCACTGCAAAGTATGTCAGCTAAAATAAGCAAAGACAAAAGACAGGCTCAAGTTCAACCTAAGGTTACGTTCGCATTGATCAGATCTTGAGAGGGGCCTGAGAAAACTTGAGCGCCGTGAGATTTTGAGTCCTGCGGGTAAAGGATCTGCTCCTTTACCCCACGCAACCCTGTGTTACATGTTGCACTGCTTCTCCTCCACTCTGGATCTTTTGTAATTTTTGCTGAATGGTGTCTTCGCCTGGGTTTATTGCTCGTTCATGTAGAACAGCGGTTTTCAAACTACTGTGCGGTTTCCTTTTTTAGGTTTGGGTGCACATTAGAAAGAAAATCACAACCGTAAACTGATTCAATTATTCTGTTGGTTTATTTTTTTGCTCTCTAGTACAGCAAAAAAAAAGCATTTAGGCTGCCAGCCTCATCCTATTCAGTTTAGTCTGCTTTAAAATACAGGGGAAGTATCTTTGTACAGTATATATAAAATAGATTTTCTTTTGATTGCTGGAGGCAATTACAGAGCTTTAAAATATATAAATAAACAGGAGAGATTCTGGGCTATTGAAATGTTAAGCATCTGTAAATGAAAAAAGTCAAACTACTATTCCTTTTCCACACATTATATTAATGATACTGACACAACTCAAAGTTTTTGCTAATCACAACCCTCCCAGTGTCCCAGACCCTTACGACCCAGGATGAGTCACATACTGCTTTCACTGTTATTTTGTGGGAAATATTTATTCACTGTGTTTAATACTTTCTCCACAAGTATTATTTGGACATATTTACTTTTGTCAGACAGGAGACAGTAAAGACCTGATATGGGGTTACATGGTCAGTGTCTCAAACCTGCTGGCCATCAGAGAGCCTGCTCTCTAAAAACAATTGGTACCGATGACAAAACTTGTTCCTTGACCCGGTAAAGTGAAAATGGACACAAACAGAACTACATAACATCCATGATATCCTAATATGTCAACGGCTTTGCCCCGTCTCCCACAGGACTACAGCCTGCTGTACGAGGAGGCGCGGTACTTCCAGCTGCAGCCCATGCTGGCTGAGCTGGAGAGCTGGCGCCAGGACCAGGAGCTGAGCCGGGTGTCGCGCCCCTGCGAGTGCCTGGTGGTGCGCGTGGCGCCCGACCTGGGCGAGAGGATCACGCTCAGTGGCGACAAGGCCCTGATTGAAGACGTGTTTCCAGAGATCGGCGACGTCATGTGCAACTCTGTCAACGCCGGCTGGAACCATGACTCCACGCACGTCATCCGCTTCCCACTCAATGGGTACTGCCACCTCAACTCCGTCCAGGTAATGGGGACAGTGGGCTGCTGTGGGTGTATCGCCATTTATACCGAGCGTTCCTCAATAAGTATGAACACTAAAAGTTGATAAAGTATGCTTTTCTGTATTTCTCCACTCACTCATGTGCCCGAGGCTTTGACCGAGGTGATGATCTGTTCACCCGACTTTTTCTCATCTGCAGTTATGCTGTAGACTTTTCAAATTTGACTGATGTCTGATTGCAAAATGTTATCTTCTTTAATCTAATGGAGTCACAAGAACAGCCTTGCGGAGAAAAAAAAAAGAGCCCTTTGATGAGTTCATCAAAGGATCAATTTAGCAAGTCGTCATTAGACAAAGTCTACCACTATATCTCTACTTTTCTTTGATCTGACCGGAATAATGATTTGGACTTCGGCTCCGGAGCCGGTGGATGGTCAGCTTTAATATCACGCAACCCTTTGCGGCGCTCATGATTCGGTCCTCATCTCACCCAGTCGCCCTCTCATGGGAAAAACAAATCCGCTTAATCTATGAGTCATTTCGATTGTTTTAAACGTTGCCTTTGAAGTGGGGCGTCGGAGCCGACCCGCACAGAAGGGACAGTAAATGGGTTGAAGGTGGATTTCAACCCATTAAGTGAACGGCTGACGCCTTGAATCATGGTGGAGAGTCACCTTAATGCTCAAACTGAGGTGGCAAACAGAAAGAGGAAGTGGGCAATTCAGGATGCAGCGAAACACTTAGGCAGACATTTTTAGTGAGATTTCTTAGCAAATATAAGATCTGCAGATCCACAAAACTCATATTGATGTACTTTAACACCGACAAATCTTTGGGGATTTGCAGGCTAGTGGTTCTATACCAAAATAAAGCAAAGTTAGAGAAGTAGTCTCGCCATATGAGGTTATTTTTGCGAATGAAAAACACCATTTACTCTTGTCTTTATTAAGACTTTTAAGGTGTTGGGGAAGTTGGGATTTCTAGGGGAGCAAAACTACGACTTGAAGTCTGTAATTATCCAAAGATATCACGCTATATGCTGTGTTGAAGGATTTAATATGATCCTCTCATAGGCACATTGAGTTCTAAGTGAAACCACCCTTCTCAGGCTCAAACAAGACTTTAACAAGAAAACTTCTAACACCAAGTAAAACCTGTTAAACTCATCTTTTATATTCAGCATGTATTTGGCAACATCGTATTCCCCTGGTTATTGATATATTGATATTCCACTAATTCATTGATGGTGAAACGCTCAGATACGCATCAATAAACGATGGAAGAGGGGCACATTTGAAAAGATTTCACAATGATTTTGGACTGTGTCTCCATCTGAGGAAGTCAAATCTCCATCTCCCTTGGAAAAAGAATACACACACACACACACACACACACACACACAAACAAACCCGTCTCTGAAGTGTGTGAGTCGTGGAGAGCAAGCAAGAGAGTGAGCATGCTCCCTGGCAGGTTGTCCCCAGGCAGGGCCCATAATCCTGTTTGGTTATTAAAGCACGCCGGCGGTGGATGCTGTATCTGCGGCTAATGGAGGCAGGGCGGGGGTTTTGAGAGAAGGAAGGGGGGGGGGGGGGGGGGGGGCGGCCGGCGGGGGGGGGGCCTTTGTAGTTTTGGGGGGGGGTGGGGCCGGGGGGGGGGGGGAGAAATGGGGAGAGGTTTTTTTTTTTGCTGAGCGGTCCACACTGAGCCAAGTGGCAGAGAGAAAGCCTCACAGCTCCCTGGGGCCTCTTCATTGGAATGTGATCCTACAGCCCCCCCGGACACGTCTGTAGATGTCTGCAAGGCCGTGAGATCAGGAACAGCTACGCGCGCGCAGACTGCGCAGACTAAACACACACACACACACACACACACACACACACACACACACACACACACACACACACACACACACACACATACAGCAGAAAACAATGAAAAACAAGGCAAAACGAGAGGCTCTTGGTTTTCGTGAAAGTCTCATGGAAGTCTCATCCAAGTTGCCGTCAACAGGCCGTATGTTGAAGCTCACTTCCAGAGCCGTTTCCTGTGCTCGACTTAGCTCTAACTCTGCACCATGTGACTAAAAGAGTTTTTCTGAGTTTTGCAGTAAACAAAAGGTTAGAGGTGACATTAATGTCCGAGCGTCCTCCACGGATGATTTATCGGGCATCTTGACCAGGTTGGCAGCGGCTACAAGCGCTGCCTGTCACCAGAGTGCTAGTGTAAGATGCTGACGATGCTTGTGTTTCGACTGACATCTCCCTCCTTCTATGCCGTTCCACCTCTTCCAGGTTCTAGAGCGCCTCCAACAACGCGGCTTCGAGATTACCGGCTCCTGCGGCGGAGGCGTGGACTCGTCCCAATTCAGCGAGTACGTCCTGAGGAGGGAGCTGAGGAGGACGAGTCAGCGAGGCTCCAATTCGAACAGGATAAAGCAGGAGCAGCTGGACTAGAAACCTCCCGAGCAGCAGGAGGTGCTAGACTTTTTACTGTGGCGGCCAAGCGCTCGATGCTGCAGAGCTCTGTGGACTCTGTTTTTTTTTCTTTGTTTCCTTGTCGATGTTTTTATTTTCTTAAACTTGAGAACCACCTAGAGAATTAAAAATGAGGTGCAACAGGAGATTTTTTTTGCCATAAGAAGATACAAGACATTTGATAAGTTTGAGATTGCAAGGACATTTGTGAATGTCGAGCCCCCATAAACCAATTTAAAAAAAGGATTTATATACGCTGGATCCCCAAACAAAGTTTGTTTTAAAACTTGGAGCCTACATTAGGTTAAATATGATTTCTATTATACCCATATAAATTAAAAAAAAGGCTTTTCTTGCTTGTGTAGTATCTTGCATAGCTTGTCACCAGTGACTTGATTTTGATGTCTCACTGGCAAATTGGTCTGTTTTTATCCCTCGCTGTAAAAAGGTCACTAATGTGTTGCTTACAGTACAGAATGTCTCAGTTGTCATAAACAGTTAGTTCCAACAAAGCATCTTTTTTTCACAACTAACATGATGTTGAATATTGTGATACCAATGAAGTGTTTTTTTTTTTTTTAAACTTTAAAGGAAGTTGTTTTTTTGGATTATGCCATGAGATAGTTAAAATTAGGATCATCCAAATGAAACACCCCGGACCATTCTGTATGCAGTAAAGGAAATACTTTAGTAAATTATAAGTTCACACCATTTGCCTCATTGGGGAGTATAATTGAATTGGATCATAATATTCATAATAGAGTCAGGACCTGTACATTTGATCATTGTATATGTGTTTGTGTTTTTTACATTGAATCTTTTTAAAGCAAATTTGTTGCCTCTGACATGACTGAACAGATTATTGTACCACCCACTCCAAGATCACTTTTACTTGTAGCACATATTGATATGAAGTTGGATATAAAGTATTTCTAACATGACTGACCCACCTACGCTCCCTAGATTTGAGTAAAGAGGAATGTAGCAAAAAAAAGAAAAAAAAAAAGTGAAATAAATCTCAACAAAAGTTGTCATGGTGTCTGTTCGCTGTTTGTGCATCGCTCTAGGGACTGCTATCACATGTCTGCATATAGTTACACAGTAATTCCTCAAATCTGAATTTACTGCATCTATCCTAACTCCTGAATGTGTTCAGCGTCAAACAGGAAGCCAAATCTTTTACATTATGTAGTGTTTTAGCTCTCTAAAGCTAACTTTACCGAGGCAATATTGTACCTTGGAGGATTTATGCTGGTGCATCAGCGACTGCATGGGGCATTCTTTACTTAGTTATATTGAATGGAGCCGACTTCTCCACGCAAGTCCTGTCAGTTGTGCTTCCACATATCCCTGCAGGGCCAAAATCCAAAGTGAAATCCCACACGGAGCCCTGTCGTCTTGTCTTCATCCCTTTTGGCAGAATCTCCACTTTCTTTGGCTATCTGCGGTTTATGCTATATGTCTCCCTTTCAGGCCTCCTTGCCCTAGATTCCCTTTTGACTGACTGTTATTCTCATAGGCCAGAGGTGCAACTGTGAGTGGTACACAGCCATGCTTTGCTCTCAATCATGAAATCAAAGTATTCACGGAGCAGGCATCAAACACATCAACACTCAGCTAAAACTATTCTGGTTTGCAGAGTTAAAATAAGTTCAGCTCAGCATTCAAGTGTTAGAGGCAATATATCACTGATGGATTATTCTTAACAAATTGGAATATGATAATTCCAATATTCAACCTAATAAGGAGTCATCGTATTCAGATTGTCCACAAATTCTCAGTATTGATCTTTTTAATTGAGCAAAACACTGCCTGATAAATATTCAAAACACGTCATTTTCATTAAATTGCGAATACTTTTTTAAGAATGGTTTTCTTTCCAGGAGTTGAATGACAAGATGGATATCACTCTCATTTCTGTACAATAAATATAAAGCTGCAGCCGGCAGCTGCTTAGCTTAGCTTAGCACAGGAACTGTAAGACCACAGCCTGTCATGTGTGCACCTCGGTTTTGGTACATATTAAACATAACCTGTTAAATATGTAAGCTTTATAGGTGCTGGTGAGCGCCAGGCTAGCTGTTTCCCCCCGTTTCCAGTCTTTGTGCTAAGCTAAGCTAAGCTAACTGGCTGCATATTTACTGTTCAGACATGAAAGCATAGAATGAAAATGATTGACATATATCTGGTTTGCTACGTGAACCCAAATGGAGGAGGTTCATAAAGAAATAGTTGTTGTTTTCCTAAAATAAAACATGGTGCGAGAGAGAGAATGAACATGTGTTTAGCTTAGAACTCAGCTGTACTTTTTTGTGCACCCTATGTGATTTCTAAAGTTTGTTACCTGTGGGGCAGCCTGAGCATAATGAGACCCTGTTTAGCCCTATGTCTTCTCACTTCCTGGATTCAGTCTAACTTGAAAAGGAATTAGAGATATCCTCCTCTCCGGACACAGCCTGTTGGAGAAAAGATGAATGGTATTAGGAGGCTGACTTCCAGTCCTTTAGAGGACAGGGGGTTTTGTGGAGAATAAAGTAATTTGAGATCCTCCTCTCTTCTGTGGTGTGTCTGTGATCATGTCTCTCTCACTCGCTTTCTCTCTAGTGATTATTTCCAGTCATCAAAAGGCAGAGTAGGGCCTGGAGAAAGTGGCCGTGGCCGTCTTTCCCTCGCTCCCCAGGCGTCGCTTGCTCATCACTGCTGAAGGTCAGTGGATGGACTCATTCACCTCGTCTTCAAATCATCAGCCCTCACGGTGCTCACTTCTATACAGCGCCGTGCAAGCAGTGGCTACTGCTCTTAATGAATGTCCTAACTAAATACACTTGTTAGCTGATGTACGTTGTACTCTGGATTTAGTCTTCTTCTATCTGCAGTCCTCCCTCTCTTGTTCTGTGTTGATCTGGAGGTAATATTCTGTGCTGTAGGTGCCTCCTACCTTTATTGAAAAAGCCCCTCGGCCATTTTATGCCAGCAAGATAATTATAAATGTAACCCGTGGCAAAAAAGCAAAACACAACTCCCACATCCCTCCCTTGCCATTTCTCTCTCTCTCTCTCTCTCTCTCTCTCTCTCTCTCTCTCTCTCTCTCTCTCTCTCTCTCTCT